ATACGAATTTAATGGAAAATGACTGGTAAGTTAGCTGCTGTAAGGAGATTCGAAATTAGTATCAGAGCATACCCCAAATAGCAAGCTCTCAGTAAAGAGCAGGTTGGTTTCGGCTTTGGCCCGACCTTTATACCTCACGATAGGTTAATGGAATTTGCTGTAATACTAGATTCAATTGTTTAATTACCTTAAGACCTGTTCCATACACGTATGACTTTGTCTAACACTCCGTTGCCGCATTAGATTGAACGCTTCCCTAGAAATTGCTTTGCCGTCAGGTGAGGCCTGAATATGACCTGCGATAGGTCATCAGCTTTGCATGGTACATATGATTTTGCATCCCAAAAGATCCACTGTTCAAACGCCTTCAGCTCTGCAAAATCTGGTGAGGCTACGCTGCTTTGCTCAAAAATAATTTTGTAAAAAACTTAGACTGTCAAATTGACTACCTCAGCGCGTGTTAAGCACAAAAGAGTATATAAGGGTGGATGTCCGGACATGAGTTGTGCATTTGGTTATTTGTATTAAAGCACCTTCGGCCAGTGATGCCATTTCAGGGTTATGAAACAAAAGAACGGCGGGGGAAGTGGGGCGGGACTATTCCTGGCGGTGCACCATGGGACCCAACCGCCGGTACCAAGACCGCATAGGGACCTCTCGTGGGGTTATGTGCCTGGCGCCTGGACGGGGACCTTCACCAGGGGGTGGGTCGAAGGGGGTGGGTCGCCAGCCACGAGTGGTTCGAACCCACTCGTGGCTGGCGCATGCAGTCTGCTCCGGAAAATTGGGGTGCCGTGAGGTGCAGGATTAAATAAAAAGAAGATAACAGGGCGGATAGTACACAAACTCTGGCACTAGCCAGGGTTTGTGCTACATAAACACACATTTGAACAGTGGTACTAGTTATGACGAAAATAAAACTGGGAATCGAATAGCTTAAAAGCTTGGTATGACTGAGTATGTGAATACAGGAAATTATCCAAAACCTTCGTATCATTTGCCTCATATTTTCAGATCGTGCAAAATTTCGTTTGATGAGCAGGCATTGCATTAGAAACGCACGAGACCATGGTGCAAAGTTGTATGGCTTTCTTGCTTCGGCAGCACACAATATTTCCAAATGACGTCATCCCCCGCATGAACACTACATGATAAACTGGTGAAAAGCAAATAGCAGCGCGGCATTGCAGTCTCCACGGTGCCTTTTGGCGCCGGTTTATTTGGTCACGGCAGCCTTAAGATATGCGATAGTCGGAGCACTTTGCAAAAGTACGAGGGAATTCGTGGTAGACGTTGAAGCTAGACGAGGTTGTCAGCTTTCAACAGCCCGTACCCATATACGGAAAAGCTCGAACTGGTATATGCTGCTTGAGCAGCGTGCTATGCACCGCTATGCTTGAGCACGTGAACAGGATGGCCAATTTACTCCACGTGAGAACAGATTGGTTCAGACCAGTGCGGTCGGCGGCGCGGTTTGGAGTAAGAAGGAGCCGTCTGCATGGGACACGATCATACAAAGGCCAGAGAGGTGGTATGCAATGTTTTCGACATGTCAATCAGATCGGTCCGAGTGTGCTGCCCTGTACCACTCCGAAGTTGATAGGTTTCAGGTGATTTTTCCCCTTCACAAACTGCTTCCTACCTCACTCTGTGAAGGAAAACGTCCTGCCTGCCCCTAACACAGTCTCTAGCGTCAAAGTGAGCGTACCACATCTAGCGTAGTCTTTGAAACGAGGCATTGATGCGGTGTGTCATTCGAGCTTCACGAAAGGAGCGCCGCGGCCGAGTGATTCAAACGCTTGGAAAGGTCGCATGACGTCACGCATGTCACGTTAATCCTGCCCCTGCTGTTTGAGATGGCGCTGACAACGTCATCCGAGGCACCCTCCGTTGAGTGGGCGACATGGCATGGTCGGTAATTAAAGGGAATGCTCCACGTATGAAAATTGTGTGAGAGGCATCAGATATGATGAAATAGCCTCACTTATAACTATTGGTATACTGTTAAGTGGAAGAGACTGCTCTAGACAGCGCAAATTTTCTGTGTAGTAACTATTATCCTCAATTGTCAACTGTTTGATTACGTCATCACATCTTGCACAACATTAACTGAGAGCCAATTGACGGCTGTTACACATGGGAATCGTGGTCACGAACGTCCAGAACTGAACAACTCGACAAGTATAGTTGTTGGCTTTTACTGCTGCTGCATGGCTAATGGAATGGCAGGATTCAAATGACATTATGATGTCATGGATGTCTGGGTAACCTTGAAATAGGCCCTTCGAAAAAGTGTGCACGTCGTCGTGAGCATGTAGCTCAGAAACTAGAAGGGCTTAGATCTCAAGCTGGGCAGGACTGTTAACTGCGTCGAAAGGTCTTCATGATAGTTATTTTTGTTTAAAACCCTATACAGATGTTGATCACTCCCCGTGTATAAGCCAACACCTATACGCTGACGATTTTTCGCTTAATTTACCAATGATGCTCACAATACTGATGGGTCTAAAGTTGCACGGCTGAGTTTTGTCACCAGGGCCGCGTTCCCCATTACCAACAGCTATCCACAAGCTGCAACCCTATGACGACAGAGGCAAGTGCGTCACAGCAGCTTCTGCGGCTTGGAGGTTAGTAGTTTATGCATGACGTCGGTACTTGTGACGTTCATAGGTAGCAACTCAAATAGGCACTTTGTCCAATGAGGAACGCGGCCCAGATTGGTGAGTGGGTAACCATTATTGCTTGTTCCTACTCGGTGCAGTCGACACGGGCGGGAGAGGCTGGGATAGTCACAATGCGACAAGTTTGAGGTGCCGGCACGGGAAAACGACGCCTTCAACAATTCAGAGCGACACAGCGTCACAACTTACTGCCGACGAGCTACACATCCATCCGCTGAGCTAAATTCAGCTTAGGGAGCGTGACGGGCCGTATACGATGCCCGACACTGATCCCGGCCGGCGGCCCGGCGGTATGAGACTGCCCGGCTGAAGCGGCCGTCCCTCAGCTACACGGCGCCCGACGCCAGTGAACTCAGCCTGTTGAACTGGCTCACTGCTCCCGTATCGAGGTCGACATCAGGCGTTTGGTCTTGGTAGAAGGTGATGACGTACGTTCTGGGGTTCTCTCGCATGTTCTTACAACGAATGGAGTCCGAACTCGGATACAGGGGGCAGGATTGTATAATCTTTTATGGAGCGTGTGACCACATCCGTGATTTTTTTTCCGGTTTCGGGATTGGTTTCTGGGGCTGCCATCCGGCTGTAACAGAGCACCTTATATGCGGCGAAAATGAGTGTTACTCAGTGTTGACCCCATTCGTGCTGGGCCGGTCGGCCGGCGAATTGAACTTCCCAGGCCTGCCGGACCCTCGCCGGCGTGAGGGCTTCCCACAGCCGGCCAGAGCTGCGGAGGTGCTCGGCATTCCTGTATTCTGCAGAAGTCCGGCTTATGGCATGACGGCACTTGCAGAGATTGGCCATGTTGGGGGAAAACGGAGACATGGGATCCGGGCTTTTCTGAGCAGAGCCGCCATGCCCGCCATGTATGAAATCCTCATTCGGCAAAAGTGTGCAAAGCACACTGGTTTCTCCGATTTTTGCATTCGTTGAAGAAGTGCACCAGTTGGGTGTGCTTGACGAAATTTAATGGTTAAAACAATTGTGCACTGAATTAAGCGATGCTAAGCGCACGCCGCTGGTCCTCTGTGACTACATGGGTTCTGTGGGAACCCAGTTTGTTATGCGCAATGTTGAAGAAAGCATTCTACATTGTATGGCGTTTGGAACTGCGATAGCCATTCTGAAGCTCACTCGCTGTATTGCACAGCCCTAGCCTTCTTAAAACTTAAATTCTCCAATTTCTGAGCTCGATGGCTGCAACTTGTGCAGAATTTGTCATGCAAACTATTTTGTGCAGACTATTTCGTGCAGACATGCATGATGCCACAGAAATGTCACGGAAGTACTGCTATCTCAGTGGCCATGTGCTGCTCAAGGCCAGGGAGAAATGTTATTATTGATGTGTTACCATGGCTTAAAAAGGACTTGGTGTCAAGGCTGTCCTTCGCACAGATGCATTAAGTTGGCGATCATTACGTCAGCGTTTCACTGATCGTACAACCACAAATCAAACATCTTTGTTTTACTTCTCAAATTACGATAAAACACGGAGAACAGAATCTACAACCTAACATAGGTATGATTTGCCTTGTGAATGTAATCATTCATGAATAGCCATGCTCCAGTCGTTTTCCACCCACCCTGTTTTTCGTTTTCGTTTGACCCGGTGGTCACCCACCCATCCTTACATTGATGGTCTGCAGAATTAAATCTGACGAGCCAAGAACTTTCTTGACTAATCCTTGCAACAAACTATCTCTTTCCACGTCCCCAGTCTTTCCTTCCCTGCACCCTGCCAAACTCTGCCTTCCTTTTCCCTGCCTTTCCAATAATCGTGCAATATTTACCACTGCGACTGGAACGTTGGTAGCCAGCAGTGTGGGTGGATGTGCCGGTAAATCGCATCAAACAATAATACGATTGAGCCGGTATAATGTGTTGAGGAAGCACTCACTGCTGCTAGGAAGGCAGCAATCGTTTACCGCACTGATGAACGAAAAAACAGCTTCAGGAACGTAGGACTCAGGCTCGGAAAAATATCTGGCAAGATGGAAAGCGAAGTAAACATTCTGGAGAAAACTGCTTACCACCATGCCTCACAGTTGTGTAACATAACAAGCGATATGTAGACCATTTCTATCACGCCATTGATTGCTTGCTTCCAAAAGACCAGCTGCTAAACAGGAAAGTAACAACAAAGCGCCTGCATCTGTCAGTGCAACGCATGGCTCAAGCTGTATTTAAAAAACGAAAGGCTGCGGAATAGTTTGACAAGCAGGCAACAGTACATGACAAGCCTGAGCGCCTGGCGAGCTGCTGTAGGTCAGCACCGTCCAGATAAATGGCATCCCAAGCAGGCTGTGACCGCCCCCCCCCCCCCCCATCAGACAGATGGCCCTGTCATCAGATGGTGACCTTCCCAGGTGGCACAGATGACCCTCTGCCAGCAGACTGTGGCCGTGCCAGCTCAGACCGGTGACCTCCCGACCTCCGGCCGGGGCCTTTCCGAGTCGTCCTTCAGTTCAGCCCGGACAGCTCCTGGCGAAGCTTCTCAATCGGCTTCAGCAGCATGATCGGCTTGTCGTCGTCCCGCACCTGGAGCGCCGAGCGGGAGAGGTCAAAGTTCATGGCGCCTTAAGGGGGGGGGGGGGCGAAGGTCAGCACTGGAGCTTTCCACGCGTGAAGGGCGGCGTTGCTACGTCATTGAACAAAATGCTTCAAACAGCGCGCGGCTGTCCGTACGAATATACGAACTTCTCCGACGAGAGGGGTGCGTTAACCCAGCGACTGGCGGACCATGGACTAGTCATGCGGCGACGGGCAGGAGAAGAGGTCATCGTCGTTGTTGCGTAATGCGGGACGAGCGAACTGACTGAGACACAGTTCTGCGACCGGTCATTTGCCGGCCTCAACATTTATTTGACACGATCACAGACATGCCATTTCACGAGCGGTGTCCTGTATCCAAAGGTAAATGATTTTGAAACTGATATATGAAAAACGAAAGTCCAGCGCGTCAAAAAGGATTTTAAGTGATACGAAATTTGTAGAGAAAATGGCGGATGATCCCATGCAGTGAAATGAAGCAGCGCTTTCAGCTTGAGCCAAATGTGTCAAGGATGTTTTTTTTCTGGCCATGTCAAATAAAAACATGTAGCCATGTATCTGGTTGTAAGTACGTGTCCCCGATACAACATACTTCATTCAGTGTGGCGTTTGCATACGTACCGTGGATGCCCCACGCAGTGTTTGATGTAGGCAAGAAAGGTCCTCATCTAATGATTTCTCGGCATTATGAGCCCAGAGTTCTTATGCCGAGTTATTTACCTTGAATATACCGGGAGGTACTGTTTAAACAGCGTCATAGAGCAAGCTTGAGTTACATTGTCAGTACTCAATGGCTCAGGCCGTGCTCATGATTAAGAATATGATCAGGCTCGAGATCTTTCAGATCAAATGATCTCAGGTCGCGTCAGACTCGACTCGATCAGACTCACACCTTGAACTGTAAAGTGTTGCTAATAAAACAATGAGAAATGGTGAACATCATATGTGTCCTGAGTGGCAATGAGTAATTACCTGATAGAGCATTTCTCCCTCGAAATAAAGAAGGCCGTACTTCCTCGCCTTGGCCAGGAGACCGACCACTCGGTTGTTGATTACCGAATACACCTGGAAGTAGGGCAAATTATGTTATGAAACATTGCTAGTTGACGCCTCCAAATGTCACAAACACAAAGAAAAAATCGGTGACCGCTAAACGCAGCGGGGTTGTGGGTCCGATCGTGGAGCTCCTAGGAAAATGCAGTCCAAGGTAGCTTGAACGGAACACGGCAAATACAGCGGCATATGAATTTCACTTTTAATTAGTTGTTTGCCGTTGCATTTGCGGAGGCTGCTTTGCTTTGACTGTGGCTTCGCGTTGGGCTGGCGGGGGGGGGGGGGGGCTTAAAGACTTAATGACTTAAGACTTAATGATGGAAAAAGACTTAATGCTAAAAGCTAAAAGACTAAAAAGACTTAAGGGCTAAAAGACTTAATGATGGAAAGCAGGAGCCGGATGCTTATTGACAAGTGTTAAGATTAAATGTGGTGCTTCGCTAACTGCTCAGGCATACAGTATACTTGATATTATACTTCATTACACTTCTTGGACAGTTTACTTCAGGGTGCATTAACAGGGATGATTACTGAGAACGTTCCAGGAGACAACAAGCTTCCAGAAAGTATAATATCCGTTGACAAATGCAAGTGAACAACGTTTATTGTACACACACAATGAACTTAGCAAGCTTGCAGTTGCCCATTGCTAGACACAGGGAAAATCAAGTGGTACGTGATACCCGTGCTCGACAATTCTCAGCAACAGTGATGTATGAAAAGCCCCACTGCTGAGCCGAAATATGCCACAATCAGCTCCAACAAACGAATAGTTTGACATTTAACACGTGGTCGGGTGGCCGGCTGGATACTCTTCGCTCGGGTGAAGGTCAATTTGACCCCGCTGAGATCTCAGGAAATAAGAGAGCTAGAGACACCAAATTTACAGGATGTGTTGACCTGTACGTGAACTCACTTAGGTCAAGATTTCGGGTTCTTAAGTCATGACGTTCGGGTCAAATGACGTCAAACAAGGTCAAATTCCAGGTTGGTCTCCAAAGAGCCCCGCGAACCTACCTAACCGTTTCTAACCAAAAGGTCGAATGCTCATTTAAGGTCAGCGACCTTGTTTGGCCTTGTGATGGTCATGGTGGTCAAGATAATACAATGTTGCTCCTAGTTTTGCATTTGAAAAAGCGACAAAGACTACGCTAGGAATTATGTTCGAAAAACAAAATGTTGACCCGGGCCATTTTAGGTCAATGACCTATTTTAACGTTTAAGAAGTCCATGGAAGATATATAATGCCGTTCCTGCCATCAATAAACCCGAGATGAGCACCAGAAACTACCCATACAGCAAAGCCTAGAGTAATAAAGCAGGTTAGTTTTGACCTTGGTATGACCTTCATACCTGACCTTGACCTTCAATTTAATTTTCTCATTCAAATGTTGTGTTGCCTAAGAAAGCATCTCAGAGATGTATGGCTTCGTATTGCACTCCGTTGTTGCATCAGATTGAACAATTCCCTAGAAGTTGACTTCGCTGAAACCATGGCCTGACTTTGGCCTGCCACAGGTCAACGACCTTACCAGGTACATTCAACTTAATGATGTCGAACGATCTGCTATTCAGTTGTTTACAGCTATGCAAAATTTGGTGCGGCTATGCCGCGCCGTTCGGAAACTGTTCCGGAAAAACCCTGGGAAGGGTCAACTTGACCCCTCCCCACCCGAGTGCATGTTAAATGACTCTTCTGCTCGCTGCACACCTCACACTGGTGGTGAGGAAGAAAGGTCACAACACTTTCAAAGCCAGGCCTAGCCCTGAGCGACAGGTGACGTATTAGTTGAATAGACTGTGAGGCTAGGACCAGCCACCGCCCATGATACGGGGTGGTGACAGCTCAGTGTGGGGGCACTCACGGTCGCCGGATCGAGCACTGACGTTACGTTCTGACGTCACTAAAGTCACGGTAGGAGCGTCCATAGATTAAGGTGCGCAACTTTGGCCATTCTGGACCCCCTCTCCCTCCCCTTGGTTACGTGCTGGTTACGCTGGGCGACCCAGCCCTGCTGCCCCCTGGTTGCCCGTGCTAAGCGAAACGTCCCCAAAAAGTCTGTTTAGGCCTAAGTGAGCTGGAGTTGCCAAATAAATGACAGGCATGTTCTTTGTCTTGCGAGGAAACCAACTGCGTCTGTCTTTAAGGTGTTAGTTTTTTTGAAAAGTAGCATAATTTGCAGTCACACCCGCGTATAGCGTTATGTTATGCAAACATCTCATTCTCTCTTGTTACGCCTCCGTAACGCTCCATTCAAACTCGTCTCCCTGCCCACGTGTGGTATGATTTAGGCGCGGCCATGTAGACGCACACTTCTCGAGCGTTGCTTGACCCTTTCGAGACTAGGCAGCCTATAGCCACTTCAAGAGGAATACCGAATATTTTGCAGGGTCACCTAGACCATTTTGGACCGCACTCAGTAAGAAATAGATTCTCGTTTCCACGTGTCTTGGTGCGTTTTGGTATGTGATGCACAGCTTCAGATGCTCTGAAATTCTCTTCAGAAGTTATCAAGCTTTCGAGAACAGGGACCCCGAGCCAAGGAAGAGCAGATCTATGTGAAAAATCCCGGTTCAGGGCAATCATGTGCTCATCTGTGATTCTGGGGCACATTCGACTTCATAGTCGGCCAAAATTGTACTGGTTAAGAGTGGGGCTTCCTCTTCTGTAAGCCATTTGGACTCTGGGTCAGAGTAATTCATCTATTGTACCCAGAGTCAGTGTAGAGTTGTCTTCAATAACGATGTCTAGATGTGGTCTACGGTCTAAATACGGTCTAAATAATGGCGATGAGACGCGAAGCATATGGCTGATGCTGGTAATCGCATAAGCGGGGCGTTTACTGCCCCGTCCTGACCGACAATGGGCTCACTTGCTAATGACAATTGCACGGGTCTAAATGGTCAGCTTATACTTTGAACAGTACGAAAAATGATCTGTGCGAACAATGCATAATAATAAGAAGTTAAACTTCCCTATAGCCGGCTTTGTGAGTTGGGCATCATTTTCTCGAGTCAGAGGTAAAGCCGGGTTCATCAATCATGTCTATTGCTTGCTATAGAATCGCATCACAATTTGGTATGATAATGTACAATTAATCAACACGGGAAAGGCAGCTAGAGTGCACATTATCACACGATACGCGCAGTTTGGGGCCTCTAGAGGCAAAACGTGAGCCACATTGCGTCGGCGAACCGTTCATGATCGGATGGCCTATGGAAGGCGGTATCATCGAACTTCCACAAAATGTGTGTGAGTATTGCCAGTTACCACACATTTTCACATCATGCATTTAGTGGTCCAAAGACATTCTATGACCTCGGAGACCCTTGGGGCGAGGGCTGGCCTCCGAGCGGGAAGTGTAGGTGGCGCTGCCAGCTTTCCGAGAACGGTTTGAACTTCAGCGAGGGAGTGGTTTGTGCTTGGAATGTGAACTACGTGACACCTTGAAGCCCCCGTGCAGGTGGTGACACAGGAGATTGCTGATGTTCACATGGGACCTGCAGCTGTTGCAAGTCTGCAGCTAAGCAAAACGTTAAATATTGACCGGAGGGAATAAATCTGTTCTTTCCTACGCTGGTGCCCACGCGTTTCATTCTTAGCAGCAGCGGTGCATAATCCTTGCATGGTACATTCCATGCGCCTGCAGTGGGCAGGTTTTGGGATTAACGTCCGCATGGCTGCTCAGCGGGACTCGTTTTCCAGCTTGACTCGACAATGGAGGCCGGGTCAATGTGTCTACCGTCGCCAGCGGTGAGACGCCACCGTCAGCCGCGCGGAGGCCCCCAACATGTGCTGGAGGGATGGGCAAAGCCCAGAAGCGCGGGGCAAGATAAGACTCTCCACCTGGCGTGTCTCAGTCAATACAGCTGATCGGTATCGGCCCGGATTGCGCTTTCACGCGCCACGTCGGCACCAGCTGCGCTCCAACCACGAGGGTAGGAAGCCGCGCACCTATGCTTGGTTTCACCACGATCGGACCTTATGTGTGACCCCCTCCCCCGGCCCCCATCTCCCGTGTGCGCTAACGACCTGTGTACTATGCAGTCCCGCCGTCACCTCGACCTGGCCGACCCCTTGTGACCGCGTGGGTTCCGCTGGCGGGGGTGGCGTTTAGAGTCGGGCGGTAGCGCGACACTGGCTTTTGGCGGTGTTGTCTGATATGGGTTTGTTTGGTTTGGTTTGGTCCGGATTATCGGACCCTTTGCGGCCTGTTATGAGTATTTCAAGGCTATTGGATGAATGCCCGCAGATAACGGTGAGGTAAAGCCGCATGCACCTGGAAGTCTTCCGTCGAGACTTAGCCCCCACAGGCACCTCCATACATGGGATATGGGCTCGGTCCTCTGACCGGGTCCCCGTTAGCATGTATTTAAGCCTGCCCATGGCTGGCGCAGGCAGGCTGCCCCAGATAAACCGGGCGCCTCAAGGATGTACGACGAAGCAAGAGTAAGGAAAGAGAGTCGGATGTCGGTATGGACCATGTGCCGAGAAGTGCAGAGGCTGGGAAGATGGGATTACACAAGTCTATGGGTGTGATCAGGAGCGCACCCAAGATATTCTTAAATGTGGGACTTGGAACTCGTTAAGTATGCATCACGGCGATTTCTACCTTTCTGTCGGGGGCCAGTTATAGCAAAAAACAAAAAAGCCTGGTCAAAGGAGAGTGCCGGGCCCCCTGTCCTCTCCACTGGCTCCGTCCCTGGCCATGATAAAGGCATGCCAAGATGTGAAAACCGGCCCATATATTTTTTGCTTGCTTCGGACGTTGAGTCAGGTAGCTAAAAGTCATTAATTTTGTAGCTCCATATCCACAGCATGGCTCCCGGGTGATCTGCGGAGCTAGGCAAACCTGAGCAAAATTTGTGATTTAGGGTGTAAAATTCAACGATGGGGCGGAGCCGAAGTCACTGAGTGGACAGTGGGCACATCAACGCGAGTATTTATCTCACTGAGTGCACCAGTCAAGTATCAGTTACTGTGCGATGGATGGACATTTTTGGACACTTTTCGCCAAGATAAAAAGCACGGGGAGAGAAAATCAGTCGAATTATTCACCTTTCAGAAGCTTACCCGATCTGGAAGGAGTTTGATTGGTTTGGCACATGTATACACACGGTATCTGCCGCATGTGATACAAAGACAGCGCAGCACACATGTTTGGCCAACGTGGCCGGCGGCGCATTGGCCTTTGCATACGGCGTAGGTGTTGGTGTCGATATATTAACTACGTGGGTTAATGCATTTGTGCCCTACCTGCTGTGAGAGAAGTTTTGGTGTGAACTCTCTTTAGGTGGGCGACTTCATACTTGGTTGCGTCTTAACTAGCTTTATGCAAGGATGCTGGTGATAGTTGGTCAATGTAATATGAGATTGTGTTTCGATGTAACCAGCATAGATTTGAGATATTCATGGGTTGCATCGAATGACTTTTATGCATGTCCATATCGCACTGGTGTCTGATGTAGCTTGCATTATGTATGTGGACATGGTGACTTAACAAATTGTAGTTCTGAGCCAAAAAGTGATCACATAACTTGTAAATATTGTTTAATACGCAATCTGATATCCCATTGCATTCAATGAGTACTTGCTATTTTAGGCCTTGGAAACATGGTAGACCAGTTTTTTAAAACATTAGGGTTTCCTGGAACTTTGATTTTAAGTTGTTTGCATGCCTGGCTCTGGCTTGTGAGTACTTCTTAAGCATGCATACACCTTAACTTGAAACCTGTCAGTGAAAGTTTTCCATTCAAACTTGCACAGGTAGTTTTGCCTTAGGCCTCTGTACTGGCAAGACTGGAGCATTAAGTAACAGCAAAATGCTGGACCACTACCTTGCCAGGCCTGGGTTGGTCCTTATTGCCAGCTGCCAGCTAAGCATGTCACTTCAGTCAGGCCAAACAGTGTATCTGCTCTGGAACATGTACCTGGTGCTGCCAGATAAGTAGTTTGACAGCTTCCCCCAGACCATGGGAGGCAAGGACCATTGTGATGCAGTTGGAACTTGCAAATGTAGAGATTAAGCTTGTCAAGCATATCCACTTAGGCCATATGTTATGCTGCATGCTGAGTGAAGACATTAGTTGCAAAGTTGCCACATTAATGCAGCCAAAGCATCAATCTCCTATGTTCCTCCTCCCAGGCTCATTCAAGTGATACCTTTCAAAGATATAGTCAGGCAATGGCAGAACATGGTCAAGCAGAACAGAAGAAGCTGTTGGATTTCCTCAGAATTGTTGGAAAGCTCAAGGTACTGGCATTTGCATGTCGTGTTTACTCAGTCTGTGGGCTATGTATTGCCTTTCTCAAGAAGTGAGATCTATTGTAACAGCATGACAGCCTTGTGTGTGTTTTGAGGTCATTTGAACACATTTACCTTGTGTTTTCTGTTTTTTGTCAGCACAAAAGGTGGGTGTTTCATGAAGATTTATGTGAGTTTCTAATGATTGTGATGCTGACTAGCAAATTCAAGGAGTGATCAGTTTTTCTGGTATGACACTGATGCAGCTGGCTCCTGGTATTGCACTCATACCTGTAGTTTTCCATTGACATGTGGGAGAACATAGGGTATGATGCCAATTAGACCACACAAAATTTAGCATACTAATATGTAGTTGAGTCTGTGATTATTTGATGGTTACGAGGTAGACCCTAGTCTGCCAAAGTCTCTGTTAATGACAGCATTTACCGAGGACATTTAACACTGCTCTCGTTCTCGGCAGCACCTGAAGCGGACTGGCTGGGTGCGGCGCCAAGTGACTGAGCCGGAGACCGTGGCCGGACACATGTACCGCATGTCCGTCATGGCGCTGGTGGCGGCCGGCCGCGCCCAGGTGGACCAGGTACGCGCAGTCAAGATGGCGTTGGTGCACGACCTGGCCGAGGCCCTGGTCGGCGACCTGACGCCCCACTGCGGCGTCTCCGCCGACGACAAGCACGCGCGCGAGCTCGCCGCGCTCGAGGGCATAGTGGCGCATGTCGACGAGGCGGCCGCGTGCGAGATCATGGCGCTCTTCCTCGAGTACGAGGCGCACGCGACGCGCGAGGCGTGCTTCGTCCACGACCTGGACAAGCTGGACATGGTACTGCAGGCGGACGAGTACGAGGCGGCGCAGGGCTGCGACCTGCAGGAGTTCTTCGACTCTACAAGGGACGTGTTCCGCACGGATGATATGCGCGCATTGAACGCCGAGTTGCGCCGCCAGCGGGAGCAGCGGCGCGCCGGCGACGGTGGCGCGGCCGGGGAGCCGGCGGCCGCGCCGGGAACCGGCAGCGACTGAACGTCTGTGCGATGAAGCACTGTTTGTAGCGAGGTTTTACGAATGGGTGTTATGACCTGGGAGGCGCGAAGGGACTTGAATAACCTCGGTTGTTTACGTGACAAGTGTGCTGAAAAGGTCGACGCGTGGAGCGCTGCCAAGGCGTCTGATTTTTGTGCTGCTTTGGCGAGGTAAGGCTGCCGAGGCGATACGCAGCTCATGTTCCTTGTTTCAACCGCACCATTCACGCGTGCTTAACTGCCTGGAACGAAGTGTGTGCTTGAAGCGGTCAGTCCTGACTCAATGGGGCGATGCATGACCTGCGGAAAGTATGTTGATGGGGCTTGAGCCGATAGGTTGTTTCGCTCTCGTGCTATCTGATCTGGACGAGATTCTTATTTCCGTTGGCCAGTTGCACACGTCGGTGACGAAACGACAGTCAAGGTGGATGTGCTGTACATTTATAGTTGCCTGGGCCCGACGTGCGCTCTGGATGTCCGTCACCCTCAATGTTGGTTCCCTCACCTTGAAGAGGATGCCGAAGGGGATGGCGACGGTGCCGTCGGAGTACTTGAAGCCCTCGTCGTAGATCATATTGCACAGCTCGAGGAGCTCTGTGTGGGCGTGCTTCACACCGAATAGGCCCTTCCTGTGGAGCAGATGTCGCTGTGTGCAGTATAGGTGGCAGGACGTGCTCAATTGCACGTCTTGGCCTGCTGTCGCGGTAATTGTCCTCAGCGGTGCATTGTAATGGATCACTAGCCTCTGTTCCGCCGTGCTGTATCAAACAAGTATGTGCGAAAACCGTTTTTGTTGTTGAAAAGTCAGCTTTCTATTCACCAGACATTTAGCGTGGTGCAATGCCAATTCAGCGGTGACATTCACTTTTCTATCGCGCTATGCTTTGTAGCAGGATATGCTGTAGAAGTCAGTCAGTCGCGCGATGATCATAATGACTTCTAGCAGCCGCTGTCGGCCAGCTTGAGTGACCCATGCACAAGTGCATCAGTTATGACGTTGTCAACCAAGAAAAGTAAACATGTGCGATGTCTTGATCGATGAGGTTAAACATAGCTTTAAGATTGGATGTCTCCAATCTTTCTGGCGCGGTTTGCTCAGGGCGAGCAAAATGAAGGTTTGACATTTTTCCCAGACACTCTGAGAGATCTGACAATTTAGCTCACAATATGTTGAAAATGCTTTGCATAGTGAACCGATATTGCCCGAATCAGATATCCCAAGGTAAAATGCACTCAAATTTGCGCACAATTCTTGGTATATTTCTAGGGAGATGGCACGGGGTTGTGCGTACCTCGTGGTTAGTTTTCCGTGTGGTCCGGCTACGCCCGTATTCTACGTCTTTAGATTCTTGCTTGTTTGAATATGACAAAACAAGCAATCAAACTAGCCGTGGTGCGCGTTGGACAGACTCTGTCCCAATGCATGCTGAGTCCCATCCAACGTCCTCCTTGGTCCGCTGGATCAGTTCATATCGGTAATTTGCACCTAGGTATGTGGTTCTCATACGCTGTCTGTTTTTTTTTCTGAGGAAACTGAATGTATGAGCGGATGATTTTGCACTGAATCAGCCAAGCTTAAAACCTTAAGGCAAGTGACCGATAAGTTTTAACTTCTCATAATGTTGATGAAGATACAAAATGCATCAATTATCTCGCCCGTTGCAAAAGTCAACCAAGGCAAAAAAGCGTAGCATGCTTCTATGCATTCCTACAAAACTAAAAGCACGAGCCAGAACGCCTGATGCGTGTGGTCGGTGGTGCATAAGATCGTTGATGGTAAGGATCACATCCGTTCAAGTCTTGAAACCCACGCAGAATAACGCTAGCAGTTGGAAACGTATGATTGCGTTGTCATTGTTTTGCATGAGGATAACAGAGACAAGACCATCCAAGATATTCAAGCATGTCAAAGTGTTAAAGACGGTTATAGCACGCGTTCGGTGTGGCTTAACGGCTCGCGCAACCACTATGGCAGCGAATATCCACGGTGGCAACCTGGTTTTGATTGTGATTCAAGCAATGATCAGGCATTGGTCGTGGTAATAGTTACAGTGTAGTTTATGTTCGTGTTTCGCCAGGCCTAATGGTACATAACGAAGACTCCATGACAACCCACCAAGGTATTATACCTTCATGTCTTCAAAAACCCTAAAATGAAATCGTGTGGTAGTCTTAGGCTTTAAAGACGTTTTGTATCAATCAAATACGTTTCCGAGTAACTGCTATCTAGTTATAGCATCAGAAATTTTAGAGCGGTCAGGCTGCGGGCCTATCTTTGCCGGATCGTGACGAGCATCCCACTGATCCGGATTGGCAGACTTGCACCAGGCTATAGAAACTGCTTACATATCGGTAAACTCGCCATGATGCGTGGAAACTTTTCCAAATTCAAATTTTTAGCCTGCCTACTTTTTGACCTCTTGACTTCTTTCGTCACCTATCGTGACATTGGGCATGTCAAAAGTTGTGCGTATGGCTTTCGTTCAATCAACTTTGGTACATCATATGGCGACAGAAGAAATAAAAATGGGCTCGTCATATAAATGCTCTTTGAGCGTCCGAAATTTACGTGGGTGACGCTGGGAAAAGTAATTCCGAATATTTTTTGAGACGGAGGAGATATCGGGAATGCCACAATGTTTGCAATGCAAGATCGAATTGAAGGTAATGTAAGCAATGAAATGCATATGAATGCGTGATTTTTTAAATTGCGTCCGTTATCACCATCAGAGTACGATACACACAATAAAACCAACTGATTACTTCATGCTTACTTTACAGTGAGTCGAATTACATGCTCTACTTCTGTAGACCTCAAAAACGAGGTCAAGTTCGGTCTGCCATGCTGCCACTGTCGCTGCTAGATTTCTGAGCGTACAAAACAGAGGTTACCGTGACGCATGCGGTTCTAAATTGACGCATACCAAGCTTAGGATCGTAGAGCCCTTGATCTAATCAGTAATGAATTTCATACAGGGCAGTGTAACTTAATATTATAATCACCCACTGTGTCAATTAAGTGTCAGTTCGAGGGAGGCAAAAGCGTCCTTTTGACAATCACCTTAACTGAATATGCTTCAATGGCTGTTAGACAAACCCGTCGGCAGCAAATAATTCATGTTCGGGTCTAAGCATTAGATGAAGACTCGGCCACCGCCTCCCTCTCTCTGACGTAGAGTTATCCCATTTCACTTTGATGGGCTTTGACCTACCGTTCCTGGTACTTTCCCTGGTAGTTTCCAGACTGGAGCGCTTAGAACTGTTTTGATTCCTTTACCGTGACTGCCCCGACGAACTGATTACTAAGCTCACTTCTTGCCTCAGTTACCTTTCCCTACGGAACAGTGCAAAATTGATAACGCTCAAGAGGTATTTTTTAAAGGAGCAAGGCATCGCCTTTGACGTCAGGATTTGGTGGTAGAGCGGCCGCTTTAAACACATCTGATGCGTGGGGCGGTGTGCTGGGCCACTGATGCCATCGCGATGTGGCGAAAAATGTGCCAGTAAAGTCCTTACGTGGTGTCCTGGATCTCAAACAGATCAACGGATGTCTCTTATCGCCTCTCCAGCCGCGCGAGCCGATGGCGTAGTCAAATGATAACGTATTGAGCAGGAGCACATTCACTTGACAGAGAAATCGTGCTGTCTACAGCAGTCTTTTCCACTTAAAAGTATATCAGTAGTTATAAGTGAGCTTTCAGCTTTTAGTTATAAGTGAGATTTCATCATATCCGATGCTTGCCTCAATGTTTTCAAATGTAAAGATTCCCTTTGTTTTTTTTGATTCCCTTAAAGGAATTTTTGAATTCCTTTAAGGGAATTCAAAAATTCCTTTAAGGGAAGGAATTCCTTTAAGGGAAGAAATTCCAATTGAATTCCTTTAAGGGAAGGAATTCCCTTAAAGGAATTTTTGATTCCCTTAAAGATTCCCTTTGAATGTAAAGAGTGTTCCACCTACGGAACAAATTAAAAAAATATGACCTGGTCAACTCTCAAGATTCATCATCAAAATAAATAGCACCGCGGAGCGCAACTAAATGACTAATAGGACATAATGCGCAAGTTAACTTATTTATTTTTTAGTACGAATTACGTGGTCAACATTTCAGACCAGGACTGGTATTTTGTATTACCATGAATGCAAGAGCGAGTTAAGGATGTAATGATAATAATGGTCAGAGCGAGTTGTGAATGAGTTCAATATTAGGTAAGGTGATGTGCTCAGCATGAAAATATTTTGAGGCGAAGTGTGGCCAAATGTCTCGTTTTAGATTCGATGATACTTATTTTCACCATGATTGCAGTGGTGGGCATGTGTTACATGTGAGTGTTGATTAGGTACGAATTTTGCCAGCAGATATGAACGTTTGTAATCATCACAGTGCGCAGCGCAAGCATTTAGCGAGCAGCGCATTCGTGAAACATTTGCGTCGCTAAACCAGCTAATTTGCCGCTGGTGTACACCTGCCATGTAAACGACACCTTCACGACGCAAGCATCCACGTAAACAATGCTTCCCAAAGTCAAAGTGCCCTCCCAACAGAGCCACTATACAAAACGTCATAGCGGAGAAATCAAGGCCATAGCGCAACGTTTCGTCGAATCAGCGTTAGAATGGTTTCATATCTGTACATATGTTTCCCTCAACAGAGGGTTCAAGCTCTAATATCACTTCTTGCAATTGGGTTTTGGCTCTTGGTGTGCTAAGGATGTCACATAACACACAGGCTGAAAAAGTCAAGGAAATAAGAGTTTTTACTTTCATACTGATGAGGAAATTTCTTGAGATTTCCAATGTCCAATCTTTCCAAATCCCAAAGTCCATCGATCTAATTTCCAAAGTCCAATGAGATTTCTCTTGTCGCCATAGTTACTTTAAATAAAAATTATGGGCTGTTTGACCGGCTCTCGAGAAAACTGGTATCATCGATCAAATCGGACCCTTCTGAGCTGGCTATGCCTGAAAGGTGCAAAAAAGGTGTGACACGTCCTTTAATGCTCCACAGAGCAAAGCTGACTGAGATGACAAACGAGCTCAGCGGTCGGTTCTCCATATAGTTCTCATTCATGGGTTCTCAGTAAAGAATACAAAGCAGTTCCACAGATTATCGCCAGGAACCTAAGAGCTACACCCGTCCGTGAACTGGCCACTGACTATGGACGGGAGGTCAAAGTTTCATCAAAGCGGAGCAGGATGATCCCACGCCAGAGATCGGCGGTGATCTAGTCTTCACTTAGACACAAACATGAGCGATGTGTGGGGCCGAGGGGGCTGAAACACATCACCAGTCTTCATAGTCCGTTTGTTTAGAGCACGCCGCATTGACACAGTGGGTGGCTGTAATATTGAGTTACACCGCCTTGCGCCCAATCAGGTACTGTTTAATACAGAGCCTCAGCTATCCGAAGTTTTATTATAAGCAGGTTTTAGCAGCACGTGCGCCATGGTGGCCTAGTGTTTTGCATGATCAGAAATACATTAATAATCATGGGACAAATATGCCAAACTCTGAACTGCATTTTGCCTAACCCAACAAGTCATATCATTCTAAAGAGATGGATAACAATGCCTGACTCAGCTGTAGGTTAATCATGAAGCGATCAGTTGGTTCAAAGGTTTCATTTACTACCGCGCTTCTGTTGTGATTACAGAGCGAATTACAAAGGTAAAGCATTTTTAAGCAGTTACGCAAACATGTCTCTGACCTTGGACCATAAACGTTGTTTCTTTGTTATTTCGGAATTCTTGTGATCGAAAAAATTGTACAATATTGCTGTTTTAGACATATATATATATATATATATATATATATATATATATATATATATATATATATATATATATATAGAGCGGTATGAATCATTTTGCTGCAAATTATGTAGCACCAACGACGGGTCTATAAGGTGATCTCTCGAAAATGCCCCAGGTCATAACTCGTTGACTGTTGTTGAGAGAGGTACATGAACATCTGTTTTTAGGGCCTTATAATTTCCTATGAGAGCATTTTCAGATTGAGTTCTCGAAAACTATGTGGTATAAATTTGATTTGTTGTTGTGGAATATATCAGGCTTACTTCTCTTTCTTCTCCCCGGCAGGCATGGGCACGACATCGGCCGGTTGCTCCTTCGCCATTTTCTTCAGCCCCTCCACGGCTTTCTCAAACTGCTGGACGGACACGGGCGCCATCTTCGGCTGCAATTGCTGCGGACGACAGCAGCGCGTCATCGTTCAGGTATGTCGAGGACGCTGCAGTGTTACGCCATGAGCTTCAGCGTGATGGTTTTACAGGCGTTTCTTAACAAAAAATAGTGATGCAACTTTTTCCTGACAACAACGTCGAACGAAAGCGCTCGTCAAATACTGATATGTACCTTTAGTTGTATTCTGCATAGACATTGAGAACCTCCTGAACGTAGATTGCAGACCGAAATGATGGCCCAAAATTTGCATTAACATGGCTAACCCATGTTCGTTTACTCATGTTTTGTGTTCAGTCAGAATCGATTTCTCAGAAAAAAACTATGTAGCATGTTTTGAACGTGCGCGCAAATCTTAACAACAGCTTAACAGCTTAACAAATCTTAACATCGACACCCGGCGTTGCTGTCTCCTTAGGCCGCGCGACGTCAGGCCCCGTGGCTGACTCAAAGCGGTGGCGAACGGGCAGACGAACAAAAAGATAACGCGTCTGAAAGGAGTGCCTTTGAACGCTTGGAAACAACAGTTCGTACGCTTAGAAAGTAGTTCGGACGTGCATTTCATTTGTGCGATTTTGACGTTGATGACAAGGGCGGATTAGCCTCCATAGTACCGTGAGGTGGTGCTGGAATCTGGTGGTGGAACTGGGATGATTCAAGGTAAACTTTCTGTGTTTCGTGTTGCCGCAACTGCTAATTGTAAAATGGATAGCCAGCGGTAAGGTGAGAAACAATAAGCGAAATCATGTCAACCGGCTGTTGAGCTTCGGTATTTGAAGCTGAGTAGGATTGTAAGCACTCATGTGCTTTAATGCTTGGGACTGTTTACAAATTCATTGAGATGTCTGATTTTCATTACAGCCGTACTCAGAAGCCTGGTATACTGTATGGCACACCAGATGCTGAGCGAAGCGGAGCAGAGGCCGGCACTCCTGGTTGGAACATACTGGGGCCGATATCCGACGGATCGGACGCTGCGTCATGAACCTGGCATGAATTCCTGGCGTCCGGGGGCCGACAGGTTTCGTCATCGTTGGCAGTGCCTTGGTTTTGGATCATGATCAGGTGGCATCGGTGAAAAGGCTTCATTTTTCGTTGATTATTATTTCTTCTGGTGTAGCCAGTGGCTAGAGCAGAACTGAACTCCCACTATGGGCGATTCCCCCACCCCCCCCCCCTCAACGCATCACAGAAATTCTTCACCACTCGTGTCCCCCGATGACCGGTGTTGCCTGTGCCATGGTTGAATTTAGCTTAGTTGTGATAGTGCACTTATTCACTTAATTCGGCTGTTGTCAGGTAATGCAGTAGAGTTAGGGAGTGGGATCATCAAGGCGAACGCATAATCAGCGATAGCAAGTGGGAGTTCACAACGGCCCGCTTAGTGTTTACGATGTACCTTTGGGTGTGTGGATCTTGGCATTAACGTGCTTGTTGGGACATCAAGCTTCCAAATAGACTTGGCACACCAGCTGATCGGCTGAAATCAGAGGAATACCCCAAAAACCGGGATGTTCCACTTTGTGGCAACCGCGGCTTATTGAGCTATAAGCTGGGCCAGAGCTGGCTCTATTGACGAACCAAACGGTATGTGTGCGTGTATGTGTGTGTGTGTGAAATTCCTGGCTTTCAATGTATCGAGGAGTCCTGGGTGAACGCCGTTAAAGCAACAATTGAAATATATGAAACCTACAGCATTGCAAAGGTATCTGGTCATGCTTGCTATTGTGCAATGAGGTTTCCAGTGCGTTATCTGCCTTTTAAGTGCTTCATTTGAAATTTGAAAGCTGTTTCTTCAATGCTACGAGCATAACTTTTTCGGCGTGCCTGCTTCAATGTTAAATAAAGCATGCATGATAAAATCTGACACCACTCGCTTGAAAACCTCGCTGCTGTTTGAAGTCCTAACTTACCAGCATTCAGAGGCCCAACTACACGAGACGCACCGTCTTACATGTACTACATAATCGCATCTGAGCCGTCACTTATGTATAAAACATTGCTATTTTTGTTGATATACTTTCAGTTCATTTAGATATAATATTCATTATATTTCGTTTAGCTTAAATATATATATATATATATATATATATATATATATAAGCTTAAGGAAGCCGTCATGTTAAAAAAGCAATCACATGAATCCATGACTAGCCGAATACAATACAATTTGTTCCCGTTTTCAGAACAGATCTTTTAGTTAGGGGTCTTTGATCTCTCGGCAGAATACTAGTGTCTCAAGCAGAAGACGATTAGGCTTTCAGTGGCCGAAGAAGATTCCCCATTATCTTTGCCCCTATGCATTTTGTTTTTCCTTCCTTACTCGAATCGAATTACGTATATACACGAAAGCATGTGTTAGTGCATCTTGTATCTGGTTGATCAGTGCAGTTGTGGATTATTTCAACGTTCGTGCCTTAATTTAATTGGTTTACTCGTTCGTTGCCGCACATATGCTTAAGTCGACCATACTTCGCACACGGTGTGCTTCATTGTGCCTCATTTCTGCAACGGAAACAATGCTTAAACACATACCATATGCAATCGTTCTACCGTGCGGTGCTTGCTTCATATCTGCTCGGTTTACGCACACGCACGTTCTGGAAAATGGAGCATCGCTCATTGGTTTTACGTGGAGATTGTCAAGTCAAAAATTGTCTGATAACTTTGCCTGCTTTTATTATCGAAAGAGATGGAAGAGTAACGTCCTCCGAGTGATGTCGATTGCTCCCTTCAGAGCGTGCTAGCCTTCTTTTCGTGCCGTGGTGTGCGCCCTATGAACGGCAGATTACGCTTGGGTAGCCCTATGGACGGCAGATTACGCTTGGGTAGCCTTTGCCCGCCATCCTAAGTTGGAGCGATGAAAGGAAGCATCAGTCATGCTTTCACTGCTCCACATGCTGTTCTAGAATGCCTCGTGGACGTACGTTGGGGTCTCGTGTACGGTGTGCGTGCCATTGTGTGGTTGTTCGAATACAAAACAAGTAGAAATGCAAACGTTTCGGATGTTCGAGAATCAATAAAATGTGATCACACTGAAAAAATGGGGTCTCGTGTCCCTGTACTCCCCACTGATAGATCGTTTGCCACCACCCACCAGCTACTGCGGGCCGGCCGCCAGAAATAGCTCCGGTTCCGGTACGCGACACGCTGATTGGCTACTCCACGTATCCTCGTCATCGTCGGACGCTGCTGCACGCACGCGCCTGGCAGTGTCTTCAGCGAGCCGGCGGGCCCCTCTGATTGTCGGAACTCAGTTCAAGTTACGCACTGCCCTTCATCACAGATGGCCATTTCGGCGAGCCTAATCGCAGCTGACCAAGGGCATATGTAAGACGCTTATATGGTGGGGGGGGGGGGGGGGTGTATCTGCGCTTTTCAGCTTGTGCATATCATTTGGCACGCCCTGTGGAAAATTTTTGTCCCATGCGTACCGCGCTTTTGCCATCAAACTTTGGGATTAAACTATGTCCATCAGGCATTGTGCTCCCCTCGCAGGACAATCCTGCATACGCCCTAGCCACTGGTCTTTTCAAACGTTGTGTCACATGTCTGGCTGCTGACTTTGTTTGACTTAAGGCAAAGCGTGGCACTTCTTACCGCCTTCGCGCCATACCAGCTTCAAGGAGTATGACTTATGTTTGTCGCGCTCCCTTGCCCCATTTGTTTGCCTCATTTTTTCACTTGCCCACTTGCCCCATTCGTAAGATTTTCAATAATAACGGCACCCTCACCTCGGTGCCATTAACGGGGATTTGCGGTTCTCACATCTGCGTTGCCCTGGTGATGCGGATGATGACGCTTATTTGTCTGTCAACGATCAGTGTGTTAACCGATATCAACTTTCCCGGCACGAAATGTAAAGCCGTACTGAAAGCTGCAGAACTGTGACGTTCCGCCGCTGTCCGGTATCTGTCAGAAACGGAGACCACCACATGCATGCACCCGTCCCCCACAGTAAGAGCCCGATGTGGTCGCCACTGCCCTGTCCCTGCCCGGGCGGCACTGATGCTGTCAGGCGCGAGTCCCGCTCAGTCCCGCCTGAGGTCCCCGCCACCCCCGGCCTGACTCGTCCATGTGTCTCACCTGTTGGGTGACTCCGGGGCGCTCACGGGGCTGGCGGCACACGCAGTGAGCGTTCCAGCTCCAGCCCGCCTCCAGCCACGCCTCTCTGACTCAAACAGCACCTGCCGCTATTAATAGCGCGGGTGGGCGGGCGCTGGCCGGGGTGCCGGGGTCAGCCCCGGCTCTGGCCTGGGTGGGAGGATGCTGTATGTTCCGAGGGCCATCCAGTAGCGAAGCGTCACCGGGTTCAGCTCCCCTTCTCGCCGGTACTCGCCCTACCTGGGTGGTTCGTCGCCGGGGTCAGCTCCCGTTCTCGCCGGTACTCGCCCTACCTGGGTGACTCATCATCACCGGGGTCAGCTCCCGTTCTCGCCGGTACTCGCCCTACCAGGGTGCCTCGTCGCCGGGGTCAGCTCCCGTTCTCGCCGGTACTCGCCCTACCTGGGTGGCTCGTGGCCGGGGTCAGCTCCCGTTCTCGCCGGTACTCGCCCTACCTGGGTGGTTCGTCGCCGGGGTCAGCTCCCGTTCTCGACGATAACCGCAGGTCTTTGACTAACGCCTGGTTTACCCTTCGTGTGCTGTTGCATTGGTAAAATGAGGGTGGCCGTGAGGGCTAAAAGGAGAAAAAGTATGAACTTCTACTGACGTTTACATAGCACATATGGCATATTTATTAGCATGTTATTATATTTGCATATTATATTATGTGGCATATTACGTAGCATGTTACATAGCATAGCACATATATCCTTTACAGGTATTTGGTGGTAAACGCCAGTGCTGTCAAACAAACCTGAATTCGCTATGCTCATAATAATTTCTTCGGTCATTTCATATTTCGAATATGACATTGATGCGTAAGACACACTGCAGAAAGCAGAAACTCCACGCTAATCGCCCTTTTCCTCTGTAGAAGAAAACAAAACGGTGGCCACTAACAACCCACCCATATGACCATCACTGCACGCCGTTGGGACGACTCCCACGCACCCGCCCAGGAGGGGGCTACGCGCTATGGTAGACGGGCGCACGGTCCGCTGGCGCCACTCCTCGAGCCACACCCGCCCCAGCCCGGCCTGGCTAAACGAAACGCATAGTTTTGACGATAACTGAACATGTCGGACGCTGTCATCTGCGTGGTGCCACTTAAATGTTTTGCGCAAAAGTAATTTTGCTTATCTCTTTTCACTGGCGGCATACTTCGAGCTATCGCAAACGCTTTCGATTCCATCGGTGAACGCATCATCCGCGCGCCTAGTGCAGCCCGCAAGGCCTCCGAGTGTTGATGAAAAGAGCCGCGCGATATCTAGGTTGCGTCGCAGCTCGGCTGATGCTCGCCCCGGTGATTAGCTGGGCGTCTGCCGGATCAAAGGGGCCGACCGCGCCGCGAATCAGATCTGCGGTACTGCTAAACACTGATTGCAAGTCTGGAGTTTATTCGCGCGGGCTCTGGATCGTCCTTCGGTGATAACGCACGATTAGCGACATCATCTTGAGTGATTTTCTTATGTCACATTTCGTGGGGGAAGATGTCCTGCGGGAACGTTGTCTGATACTAAGAAAACCATTCCATCAGCATTCGCTAAGAAGAACAGTTCATCAAAGTCGTGGGCGATCTCCACGCCAAATTTTGCCCGTTCACTTTGCTGTGTACACAATGTTAGTGCTTCCATTGCTTATTTCGTCGCACAAAACCTTTTCCGCTCCGCTCTCTGATTCAGTTCGTGTTCTTCGGTTTCGTGCAAGGCAACTCATGGAGCTTAACGTGGGGCCTGCATGAGGCCGTGAGGCGTAAACAACGCTGGGTACCTGCTGGAGTAGCATTTCATCGCTCGTTTCGTCCGACCACGGTCTGGCGGACGGTTCGAGTACCGCGCTGTGCGACTTCATCGGGTCAGCAGTGGGCTACGTGACACTAGATAGTTTTGCTCTTTATCCCAAGAGCAGGATGAGCATTGCCCATGGAAGCACACTGCGCAGTGAGTGTGGACTGATGGCTTGCAGACCTGAGACGTCAGCCATTCCGAGCAGGTGTCGCTGTCTCCCTTCGCGTGAGACGATATAGATGACGCCACGCTAGCTGTCGGCAAAGCGCGTCAGCGTCTGTCGGGGATGTCTTGAGTCAACAGTTTGAGGCTTTGTCTCACCAGTCGAAGGGAGGAGTGAGTGGTGGACGAACGCAACCCCAAGGCGCATCCTTCAGATTTGACCTGAGTCGTACTGGTAGGCGAGGGACCGACCACGACAGTGTGGTAGTTGGTGGGGAGTTAGCCAGAGACTGGGCAGCCTGCACCCCCGAACTTCATAAGATACTGCGTCCCACGGGTCCAATACGCCATGATTTGAGAAACAAGTCGACGTTTGAACATGTCAGACCTCACCTTGAACAGCCGTACATCCACCGAATCTGCGCAACAGATGCGACGAAGGTCAGCTGTTGAGGCAGCTACGGCCGTCCGCAAACCTAGCTCACCGCGCGCCAACAGTAGTGTAGTTCAGCTGATGGTGGCGCTTGCTCTCGTCAGATACAGCAAACTACAGGTTCGCCAGCGAGGCTTCGGTGTCTCCACACAGTCAGCCTGTGTGTGACAGATGATACGACAGGGCTGTTGTTCTATATTGGTGGCTGTCGTCTGAGCACCATGACCGTGTTCGCGTGGTCGCTGTTCTTTGCTGCCGTGGTTGATGGTGGGGTTGAGCTGTCACGAAATTCGATTCTGGGTAGAACTTTGGCGGGTGGGGAAGGATAATGTTTTACACCCGTTGCTGTCGAAATGTCCACCTTTTGGATAAATCGCAGAGGCGAAAGGTCACTGGTTCGGAGCTGTTTACTATTGCAAATTGAAGTTCAAAGCGTTCCGCGTCACCAGGCTTTCTGTGCTCCAACAAAACGTCATAAATTTTGAGATGTAACCAAGTCGACTTTCGTAGCTGTGGGAAATGCGAACGGTATCCTAGCACGTTGTTTTGGCATACAATTACATACGTAGCTTTCCCTTTCAGTGAACCTCTACCTAACTCTAACAACAATTTGTGCCCGAACTGCGCAGGTTACCTCCGGAAAACATGGCGCCTGTAACGATAGCGTGCATTGCTGTCGGGACGGTTAAGAAAAACGACCTACATGAATACGCTCCAGATTTCATTTAAAAAAAGAGACGGCGTTCTCTTTGTTTTGCATCACGGTATGGGCCCGCGAAAAGACTGTTGTGCAGCCTCGCCCGATGCAGAGGACTGCCTGCATGCGTCTGCTGCGACCCCGGCCGAGGAGGACTTCCTGACATTATCAGGCTCGTGGCTTGCCTTCCGGTGCGGTCGACGGAGCACAGCATCAACATATCCACATCCTCCCGCAGTGCATTGATTCGTGCTTCGTAGCATCTTTGGGCTGATCATGTGTTACATAGCGCCGTGAGAGGCGTGAACGTGCTCAGTGTCGAAGCTTGGTTACGTGCTGACTTACGTGTTAATGGAATAGAGAAAGCGTGACACCTTTCGCGACTCGTTGTCGTTCAATACACAGTAGTAATGAAAGTTTTGCCACCGCCGTTTCGCTTTTGCAATCACCAAGAGTGGAAATGTTCGCTGTTAGCGCCCGGAGATTTTTCCGGAATGACTTCCGAACGGTGCGGCGTGGTCACCCCACATGTTGCGTGGCTGTAGGTAATTGAATAGTGGATCGTTTGGCATAGAATATTTGGCTTTACCTGGTAAGGTCGCTGACCTATGGTAGGTCAAGTTCAGACCATAGTTACAGCGAAAGCAATTTCTAGGGAATTGCTTAACCTGATCTAACGACGGTAAACAAATTGCATTGACCTAAGGTCAGATTTGAAGGCCAGATCAAGGTCAAAATTAAACTGTTTTATTACTTAGTTTTCTCTCACACTAACTAACTCTCTTAGTTCCTGAGATTCCAGGGGGTCAAATTGACTCCCCACCCGAGCGAAGGGTGGCCAACCGGTTACCAGGGCGCGTGTTAACCCCAAAATAGGTGTTCATGCAAGGTCAATCTCTCGTTTGATGACAGTAATCAAAGAATGCTCCATCGGGCAGTTCCTCATGCACGAATTATCTGCGTACAGTAGCGTAGTTTCACAAAACGAGTTGGGGGCTTAGTAGTGAAAAATTGCAATTTAAAATTTCTTCTCAACGTTGGGGGGCTCGAGCCCAAGGCTGGGGCCAAACAGGGGTAAACTACATCCCTGCCGTCGTGGAAACGCCGAAGCTGTTCAGCGTCTGCTATCAGCAAATACCTCGACGTCAGAAAACGTCACCATTGGCAAAACTTAACGTCGTGGCGTACCGCGGAGCCTTTATGCTTTTGTTTCGGTATTCAGTCACATGAATGGACCTGACACGGACTTCGCAATTATTGGCATAATTCACTAATTGCGAAGTCCGTAAGTGTGACGAAGTGGGAGCAGTAGCTCACATCCTCTCGAATCTCTCTGGTTGCAAACACGCAATAGGATCACTTTGTTCTCTTCAGTGCAGCATGAACAGGCGTCCCCATCCTCTCGCTGAGAAGATAAAGCTCTCATCGTGGGAATGTTATAGGTGATCGTAGGCAAAACCCTTGGTAACGAGGTCACGATGTAGGCAGATATTACACGCGTCACGCGTAGTGTTGGTGTTGCCGTGGAACCTACCTCAATGAATAAGTTGAACGGTGTGAACATGCTATATTCTCATGGGACATCTGGCAGCTGGCAGGATGTTTGCGGTAATGGCAAGCACGTCATTCACAAGAGCCTTCTGGCGTTGCGATATATGCCCGATCTTGCCTTTCGGACGAGAACCTCGCCGGCAGCAACGTTCCGCGAGCGTTCGCTGGTCCTGCCGCTGCCTTTGCGTCGGATGCACGCGTCGTGCTAGCGTCCAGCCGTGTCACGTGTCACGTTGTCGTCTGCACGTGGCTCGCGGTTTGCTGTCCGCACGTGGATCGCGGTTTGCTGTCCGCCGAAGGACAGCCTGCCGGCCGGGCCGCGGCGGCGCGCCACTGTTTGTAGGAAGCGCGACTATCTGGAGGCGGCCGGACGCTGCCGGAGGTCACTGTGCGGCCGGCGCAGTGGGCGGCCGCGGCGGCACCAGTGGCCGGACGGGCCCGGCGGCGGCCGGCCATGCGCGCGCCCCCACTGCCTCCGCCGAGCGCTCGTGCACCGCCGCCACCGCTGACCGGTCGAGATGCGGAAGACGCTGCCGGCGCTGCTGCCGGCGCTGCTGACGCTGCTGCTCCTGGACGTTGCAGGCGGTGAGTGGGAAGGCACGCGGGCAGGGCAGGGCTAGCGCTGACCGCCGTGTAGCGTCACGACGGCGACTGTCTGTGCACAGACGAGGGTCAGGCGGGAAGGCGGCACGCTTGGTTTGATCATCAGGCCAACCGGAACGTATGTCTGCTGTGTTCACAACGGCTATAGGACCAGTGCAATAAAATAATAAACAGCTGGTTGCAACGTCTGATTTTTTCAGCCATGTTCACCAGCGCGTAATCACTGTTTGTTTAACGGTTAGTAAAGGAGAGCAGGAATGGATCCTGGACTGATGTCTGGTCGGTTTTGAAGCGAGCGCGTGTGCTGCTTTCTTCGGCTCTGCTTAGTGAGGTGCAAATAAGTTGAGGTGCATGCGATATAGGTTTGTGATTTGAACTGCGCATTGTTCCGATGTTCTCCATCCTTCCCGTCCTGTCACATTCAACACACACACACACACAAATCGTTCGATGTCATGAAAAGTTGCGCACCGCGGCGAAAATAGCGCGGATGTGTTCCAGAACAGGTCAAAAGGGCGTTAAATATGTCCGACTTGTCAGACTGTATGCCCTTGAACGAACTGAATTAGTATCGATTCTGCCATGGTTTACGCCCTCTTCAGTCGGAATTTATGCTACACGAAAACGCACAGCATCAATGTGCGTTGTGGGTTTATCTGAGTTTAAATTTATCTGAGTTGTTTGAGCCGACTCGGCTTAAGCCGTATTGAGTTGTGTTGCCTTGAGATGAGCTGAGTCAGGCTGAGCTAAATGAGCTAATCTAAATGAGTAGGGGTAGGAGTACAGGATTAGACTCGATTGTACTAAAACGGAGTGGTGCGCAGGGTGGATAAATCATCCATCCCACATAAATGCTTCGTCAAACTGCATCAGCAACCCGTACTCTCGGCAACCGGCGCCCGCGTGACGCCACCGCCTGTGTGCCATTGGGGTACATTCGTTCTCGCGCCTCGTCACTAGAGCGTCCGCTCGCACGCGCCGTAGGTTTTTGCTGATAAACTTAGTTCAGCAGCACTGGAACTCCTATGACGCTGTAAATAAGCCCGCTGGGATTGGACCAGCGTCGCGATGTGATCGCGTGATGAAATGACACCGCTGACGAAAACACGCGACCACGTGACCTCATGTCTGGCTAGATCCCGCGAGACGACTATTACGGTTTTGATGATCCATTATCGAGCATGTGCCGATGCAGATCTGGAGTCTCCCCTGACCACAGCGCTGCTATCTGCTGATGATTCAGTGTCAGTGCTGCGTCTGTAGTCTCTCTGTTAGAGAGCTCCGGCTTTGGTAGCTGGAATATTGTGTGATATTTCGATTATCGGACTCGGCTGTTGTCATCTCCGGCCGAGGAGCGGAGACAGCACAGGGAAGGGAAGCGTGGAACCCAGCTCCTGGGTTGGGTTTGGGGTGATTTCTTTTCTAAAATGTCGTGTTTGCTCGCCCAATGAACTTTCTTGTTCTGGAAGGCATGTTGCCTTATACATTCAATTTCGCAACTTATGTGAGAGAAACTCTAGCGCCTATAACTGCGGTTCCCCAAAAACGGAACAAATTATGAAGGCTGATTTCATTAGCACTTTCGATCGATAGCATTTCTTTGATCCATATGTCAGTTTGGCGTTATTTCCATACGCAAGATGACTGCCATTCCCATATTTCTAAAGACAGGCGCATGACAAGCTGATAGCAGTGGGCGTAGCGATGCATCAATAGCGGCACTGTGCTCACGCGCTTTCAGTGAATGTTATTTGCGAGTGTTCGTGAGCATCGAATAAGCTGGTTGGTGAGTGGAGAGGATGTGGGGACCCCCCAGTCTGTTCGCGACCGGTATGGGTATGAGCAGCGGTATGGCGGGTTTGTGGAGTCGGGCAGTCATGCGAACCTTCATCGAGATGGTGTAGGTTGTAAAGTGCATCTTGGAAGAACATTACGCGTGCGGATAAGAAAGTACTATTAGTCTTAGTCCTCGTCGAATAACTGGAAGAAAGGAGAGATAGATGTCTTAATATTTCGGCTATATGCCTTCGTCAAAACAATTGGAGCGATTATGAACAGTCAGTAACTCACACCGAGAAGAGAACACCTTCTTACCGCGCAAAGTCTTTAATCGTTGCGACAACGGTGTGTAGCCAAAATGTTAATGGCTTTAGCTGCCTTGCCTTTCTTCTGGCTATTTGACGAGGAATGAGGTTGGCAGTACTGTTTCATCGGGAATGGCACAATGTTAGTATTTTTCCGTGGAAGGCTTCTCATTCTAGCAGTTCGTCATGCCAACCTCCCCGATATTTTCCATCTGTGCTCGTGGCCAGATTTCTTCCAAATCTTGATTAGCTGAGGGACGTCAGGCTGGCTAACTCCCAGCAGGACACCGCCCTCTAGTTCATGCTTTGCACTGACGGACCAACTTAGGGCCTTGGAGAGATTGGAAATGGAGATAGTAGATGTGTGTGCACTACATGGATAAGTTCCTGCAAAAAATCCTCATTCATATATCATCTTCGGCCAATCTTTCGTGTTTGTCACTGTAATAACCCTGTAGAGCTTGGCCTCGACAGGAATCATCTTAGAAAGCGATAGACTAGCTATTCAGTGTCGCGATGCGGCATAAATAGCATTGGCGCTGTGCTGAACACACACATACAGTGCTCCCCTCTGCGTCATGGGAATGTAGACGTTGGTCTACATTTTGGTGTTGAAAAGTGTTGTTAAGGATGAAAATATCACTCCGCTCTGAACACGACAAAATTTGAAAACGTGGCAAGTTTTTGGAGGGCAAATTTCATCTCATGCGTCTTTGTAACCCACGCATGCACGCGCAACACGATTCCCATCGCAGATGGTGACAAGATGTGGAGCCAATCGGTGGGTTGTTTTGGCAGGATCCATCTCTTCAGTTGCCAGTGTACCAAAAGCTCATCCGCAAAATGTCGGAATGGCAAATACTGGCAAACTACTGAAACCGGCAACGAGTCACTGGACTAACGCCGCTACTTTTTTATTGGTTTACAAAGCATGCAGCTGCCCTGGCCATTGCGCCGAAATTTATCCCCCGATTGCTGCCGAGGAAAGTGTAGGCTGGACGTGGTGAGTTTCACACCATCGCGAAAATAACTTTCAGTCGGGGTCAGCAGTACACCGGGGTCCGAACCATGCACACGTCAGAGTCACACGTCATCCCCCTGGGACACCATGTCACCGACTGGACTAACGGGCCAGGACAGGGTCGCCACTGGTTTGGGGTGTGTGGGGCTGGTTCCCCTGGGACGCCATGTCACCGGCTGGACTAGCGGACCAGGGCAGGGTCACCACTGGCTTGGAGTGTGTGGGGCTGGCCGAGACTGCGCCTTCAGGTCATGTGTAAGGTATCCAGCTGTTGCTTGACAGGGACATTAATTGGTGCGGCCTTGCTTGTGAATGTGTGGACATTTGCGTGTTACCAGGTTAACGTTTGTGACGCGGGTGCCTGTGACGCAATTGTTTGAATTCAAACGTGTTCGACTACCATGGCTATCTACGTTGTCTACCGGGAAGATGCTAGACTTACGGATTGTTCATGGATGGAAATAAGAACACGTTAATCCAGCAAATCGCACCACGAGCATCTTTTCCTCTGGACCATCGAAGCGGTATCAAGTTTAGGTATTCAACATAGCACAATCATATCTTCAAGATGGCTAGTTCAGTTCAAAACCGTTGTCCTCCATTCCTTTGCATTTGCTCGGATGGGCCTGTGCTGTTGTTGGGTCTCTTCCTATTGGCGTGCCGAAACACTTGTCAATCACGGGCCATTTCATGGATTCTTTCCATTCGCCGGAAGGCTCTGTGAGCTATAGCCCGGGCCCCATGTCTTAACCCGCCGGGATATTCTCGGCTGCTCAAGGGCCCTTTACGTGGGTCTCGGTTAACTTACCGACACACTTGCGACGTGCTCATGCGCTCTCTGCAGTGGTCTAAGACATTTCCAATTCTCTGTCACTTGCTTAGGGCCGTACACTCTTGTCCGGAGCCCATCTGATGGCCTGCTTGGACACACTCAGTCGTTCGCGGACCCTCTATACTGGGTCTTGGGTACTTCTTTTCTGAATGGGTGGGGCCTACTCTCTTGTTGGGGACCTATCTAATAACCTCCTCGGGCACATTCGATCGTTCGGGGGCCCTGTCCATTGGGCCTTGGGTACGTGCTATGTGAATGGGGTCCTAAGTACTAGTCGGGGTCCCCTCTGTTCGCCTTCTCGGCCACACTGGATTGCTCGGGGACTTATACATTGGTTCTTGATGTTTGAATTTAGGGCATTCTGCTCCTATTGGGATTATTTGATAAACTGCTCGGATACACTCTATGGGCCATCCGCACTGGGTTTTGGGTACTTTTTATTTGAATGGAGGGCCTTACGCTGCTGTCGGGGCCCCTTCTGATAAGGTGCTCGGGCCCATTCCATCTTGGGGGACCTCTACATCTGGTTGTGGGTGCTTCGTTTTTAAATGGAGGGCCTTCCGCTCTTTTCGGGGCCCTACCTGATAACCTGCTCTGGCGCGCTCGATTATTCGGGGCCATCTACATCGCGTCGTGGGTTGAACGGAAGGCCCTATGCTCTTGCCGGGGCCCATCTGTTAACCTGCTCGGGCACACTCGAATATCCGGGGGCCCTCCACATTGTGTCTTGGGTACTTCTTGTCTGAATGGAGGGCTCTACACCGTTGTCAGAGGCCCCATCTGTTTGCCTCCTCGGCTACACTGGTTTGTTCGGGGGCTCTGTATATTGGGTCATGGTGTCTGAATTTAGGGCTCTACTCTCCTGTCAGGGCCATCCGATAATCTGCTCGGGTACCCTCCATCTTCCGGGAGCCCTCCGCACTGAATTTTGGGCAATCCATATTGGAGTGCCCTACGCTCTGGTTGGGCCCCTTCTGATAACCTACTCGGCCATATTCCATAGTTCGAGGGGTCATTTGCATAGGGTTTTCGGTACTTACTGTTT